ATTGTACAAATGGTCCCTCAACTTTAATCAAATTGGAGCAATGGTCCCTCAACTAAAAATCCATTACCTTTGGTCCCTCAACTTATCAAAACGTGCAGCTATGGTCCCTCAACTAAAAATTCATTACCATTGGTCCCTGAACTTTAATTCAAGTGGAGAAATGGTCCTTTAACTTTAACTCACTTGTAGCAATGGTCCTTCCAATATAACTCGTTTTGACAAATTTTTTGACATAGTTGACAAAAAGAACCATAATTATACACTTTGATGAGTTAATGAACCCTAATTATATAAATGGTCATTCCAACATAGCTTATTTTGACAAAATTTTGACAAAATTGATAAAAAGGACTATAGCTACACATTTTGATAAGTTGAGGGACCAATGGTAATGGATTTTTAGTTGAGGGACCATTGCTCCAATTTGATTAAAGTTGAGGGACCATTTGTACAATTTACTCATTTTAATATAAAAAGTTATCTTAAACTCAAACTTAATTATTAGGAACAAAAGTTGCGTCTTAAAAAGACATGTTCCTAAATAAGTTGTCATGAGACAAAACAAAACAAAGGTCTTAGGTTCGATTCATGTTAAAGGCGAATTTAAGTCAAATTATTACTAACCTATTGTGAGGCTAGGCCCACCTCCTCCCCTTTAGTATAGATAACATCGCTTATTCACAAAAGAAAAAATACATATAAAACAAAATATATACAATGCAATCCAAAACAACAACACAAATAGATTAACATTGTACCCTAACACTATGCTTGGATAAAGAAATTTAAGATTACTAAGGAATTTTAAAATGACGGAAATTGAAATGAAGGGATTTTATTTTCTAGAATTTGTGAATTTTGTTGTTTGGTTAACTTAAAAAAACAATAGAATTGAAAACGGAATTTGTTAATTTTAAACTCTCAATCATATAAATTGGGAAATGACACATATTTACATGAAATTTAAACTTGGAAATTGGAGACCCCAAATTTCAAGTTTTTTTTTCCACGCGGAAATTCTAAATTTCTTTGATATTAATCCAAACAAGGAAATTGGTGCATGTCAATTTATAAATTCTGACACTTATCCAAATTTCAAGTTTATTTCTCTCATCCAAACATAGTGTAAAAATATAGACCCCGATAAAAAGTCTTGTTGAAGTATATCACACGGAATAAAACTTCAGAATTCGAAAAAAAAAAATAAAAAAAGAGTGCTACATATACAATAATTAGAGAATCAAAACTACTCTATCATCTTTAAACCTTTCGGAAAAAAATATATTTTCTCGATAATTGCAAGCCATGCTGTTGGCCTCTGCAAACCAGCGGGCTGATTAGCCATCTAATTTTTTATACTTTAGGTTCTATTCTCGTTAAATACGAATTTGAATTACATTATTGCTATCTCAGTATGATGTTAAATTCACCAATTTCTCTTATTATAGATAATACCGCTTGTTAAAATAAAATTATATTCTAATATTTCTGTTACAATTTGGCATTAGAGCAACTTTGTTTTTCAAATTTCAAAATGTTGTAATGGGACCCGGACTTTCTTTCATTCAACGAAAAAAGAGTAATCTTTTTGTTTGGTCGAAAAGGTTAGTTCCCTTTTTTTGCCCAGTCATTTCTAATAATTCCAAACAAAATAATCACTGATTAATCAGCAATTATCCACGTGGCTTTCCCTAATTGGGCAAGCCACGCAGCTTGAAAGGGCGTTTAACTTTTCCCACCGTCTTCCTCCTTAACTTGGTCAGCACTGCAACTGTCCGTCGTGTTGCTTCCGCGAACATTCCCACGGCAATTTAATTAATTAATTAAAAATATAAATTACTTATTCGTCGTCAAAATCCAACACCTCGCCCCTACCTCTCCACTTCCTCACATCTCAGCGTCTGCACGCGTCTTCCTTCAGCTTTCTCTCTCCCATTTGCCCCCCAAACTACATACCCATTAGAAGCTACACGACAAATCGCAATCGAGCTGAATTCTCTTCAGTCACTCCCTTCTTTCCGGTTCTTCCTTCTCGGTAAGAATCGTGATCGATCTTTGTTATTGATTTGCCCCTGTTACTTGTTATTGGTAATTTGTTGGGTCCAATTTGTAGGATTTTGTTTTGCCGATTGGTTTGTGGGTTTTTGGATTTTTACTTGGGTTTTGTAATTTCGGTTTGCAGGTGATGGATTTATAGGGGTTGGATCTGTGCGTACTTTTTCCCCTTTCGTTTGGAGGGGAGGAGGGTATTCAAGTTTGTTCCTTTTGTTGTATAGTTTGTGAAAATTGAATCTAGGGTTTGTTTGATCATCTGGGTATTAATCGGGTGGTCAATTTAGGGTTAGATATGGCTGCATTCTTGTAAATATGTGTATAGTTTTCCTAGGGTTTGAAAGTTCTGCATTGATTTGAAGAGCTTTTTGACTTTCTTGGAAAATTTCAAATTAAGAGCATAATGTCGTCCGCCGGTATTGCTGCTCTTACTCCGGCTCACAGTGAGCCCGGGTTTCCCCAACCGTGTATGTCTTTGGATGAATCGATATTGATATATCTCTCGGTGTCTGGGTCAACTACTCCCATGAGTGTTTTGGGATCGGACTCTATTGAATCAGTGAAGCTTAGGATACAAACCTATAAAGGGTTTGTTGCTAAGAAGCAAAAATTAGTTTGTGGAGGTAGAGAACTGGCTAGGAGCAATTCCATACTCCGGGAATACGGGGTAACGGATGGGAATATTCTACATTTGGTCCTTAGGCTTTCTGACCTTAAAGAGATCAATGTCCGAACGACTTGCGGGAAAGAGTTTACCTTCCATGTGGAACGTGGTAAAGATGTTGGATATGTGAAACAAAAGATTGCAAAGAAGAGTAAAGAATTTGTTGATCTAGAAAGACAAGAAGTTGTGTGTGATGGGAAACTACTTGAAGATCAGAGACTTATTGATGACTTATGTAAACATAATGATGCTGTCTTACATCTGTTGGTTCGGAAGTCTGCAAAAGTTAGGGCCAAACCAGTTGAGAAGAACTTTGAATTGTCAGTTGTGGCATCACAATTGGATGATGGGAAAAATTATGAAGTTGGTGGAGATAATGTGAAGCGACAATATGATGCTGGTCAGCATGACTTTAAGAGATGTTATGAAGTTGTGCCGAGTAAACCTCCTGACAGGGGCTTTTTGTTGGAGCCTGTCATTGTTAACCGCAAGATTGAATTACCTTCCCAGATTTGGGACATGGTTGCTGACACGTCTAACGGACTAGCTAGTGGGAGTTATCCAATTAGGTCTATGGAGGGTACGGGAGGAGCGTATTTTATGCCTGACTCTTCAGGTCAAAAGTATGTATCTGTTTTTAAGCCAATTGATGAGGAGCCTATGGCTCAAAACAATCCGAGGGGGCTGCCATTGTCATTGGATGGTGAAGGATTGAAAAAGGGAACAAGAGTTGGAGAAGGAGCACTTAGGGAAGTGGCTGCTTACCTCTTGGATCATCCAATGGGTGGGCATCGCATGCTGTTTGGTAATGCAAAGGGCTTTGCTGGGGTCCCCCCAACATTTATTGTCAAGTGCTTTCATAAAGTGTTCAACCATCCTGGGGATGCAACTGTTAAGGTCGGGTCCTTGCAGAAGTTCATGGAGAATAGTGGAAGTTGTGAAGACATGGGCCCTGCAGCTTTCCCAACTGAGGAAGTGCATAAGATTTCTGTTTTGGATATCAGATTGGCAAATGCGGACAGGCATGCTGGAAACATTTTGCTGGGCAAAGAGGGTGAAGATGGCCGGACTGTGCTGATTCCAATTGATCATGGGTACTGCTTACCTGAAACGGTAAGTACATTCACTTAAACTTTTATTAACTGGCAGTGATTTGTCTTTGTTGTCATTTTGTTATTGTTTTTGGCGTTTCTTTTCTCGTTTTCCTGAAATTTATCTTCATCATATAGTCAGCAGCTCATTGCCATGACATTATTTAGGAGATTTATTTTCATTTTTGTTTTCTGATATTGTAATACTAATTTCATGTGTATTGTCTTGTTCCTGCAGTTTGAAGACATTACATTTGACTGGTTGTATTGGCCACAAGCACGCAAGCCTTATGCTGACGAGGTCATTGATTACATCAAATCACTGGATGCAGGAGAAGATATTGCCCTTTTGAAGTTCCATGGATGGGACATGCCCCACAAATGTGCTCGCACACTTCGCATTTCAACCATGCTGTTGAAGAAAGGGGCAGAGAGACAGTTCACTCCCTTTGCCATAGGAAACATAATGTGCAGAAAAACCTTGAACAAGGAATCCGTCATTGAGGAGATAGTGCAAGAAGCAGAGGATTCTGTGCTCCCTGATTCAAGTGAAGATGCTTTTCTTGAGGCCGTGTCCCAAATTATGGACCGTCGCCTTGATGAGATTGCAAGATCACCTTCGTAAAGGGATGCTGAATCATGTGGAGAACATAGGTACATAAAGTGTAGATGACCATGTGATTAGCGTACATATGTTTGTATGGCAAGAGGACTAGCCCTCCTTTTGCCCATACACCTTCAATTTCGTATCCGTTTTTTCATTATAGACCCGCAGTTTCTTTCGTATTCGTGCTTTTCCTTACGGACCAAAATCCAGTTTCGGTTGACTTGTAGTGAAGTTCGTGGTTCATTTCGTGACAATTTCTAATCCATTTGCAATAGCACTGAAGTTTGTTTTGAAGACAGAAAATTTCATTTGTTAGGTTTGGGATGCTTTTTTTGTTCTGGATACTGCATATTCCAAAAATGCATATCAGACCACTATATTTTGATAAAATGTTTAAGAATAAAATAGGAAAATGGCGACTTGTTGGCAATGGTGGTTGATACAATCTCAATTGTTTCGGTTTTAATGAATTAAATGAGCCATTTGAATTTGTTGGACATTGAAATTCACATATACTGTGCGGGAATTCTATAATACCACGTTGCATCCAATGCTACGGTGAAACATATCGTATACGCTCGTCACTTTTATCAACTCCATTAATACTCCGGTGCACTCATTCGATGCATTTTCCGGCTTGTTATATTAAGTTGGAATTCCAATAAGATAAAAGGGAAAAATACAATGAAGTTGGAAATTATTCACAAAGTAAAGCAAATATATAGGAATTAATATTTAAGGAACCAGCTCCGAAGATGTGTTGTTGCAAGTGACCACTCGGAGTCGGATTTGGGAGGTAGCTGCACTGCTGCAATGGCTAGTCTTCAGGTGAGAAGAATGGGCAACATGCACAATTGACTATTGCAACTTCTGCGCCGGTGTAAGAATGCGCGAGACGGTGACTTGGGTAAAAGGTAACCTGAAAGGTAAATGCTTGGCACCAAATCATGGAGCTCCGGGTACTTGTACAAAGTTTGTCCGGCGTTTGTGCAGCGACCAGAATAAGCATGTGGAGTTTGTCATTACCATGAACTTCTTACACGCTCGATTACTGTTGTCTCTCGGAGCATGCATATGATCAAGCATCACCTTTCTTTCTTGCTGGGCTTCTTCAGCATTTTCTTTGATCTTTTTCTGCAATCAAAGACATCAAGATGTAAGAAAATGTTCGTACTAAGAAAATAAAATGCTATGGTAAAATAACACGAATCCATGCTTTGGTGTTCCGTGCTGGTTAAGTATTGCATGGAAACAACTCCATCAGATTGAAGGACTTACTTCTTAGTGGGCTTGCCGCTGAAACCAATTGCACTCTTCATCGTCTGTGTTGGTCTTTTTCTGCGATCAAGACAGTCAGGATGCAAAAATGTGACTATTTTGAAAACAGAATACAATGAAATCGTGTCCCATAAACCAGGTAAGTATTGTATGGAAACAACTTTATTAAAGTTAAGAAATTACTTCATAATAGGTTTGCCACTGAACCCAAATACACCCTTCATCAACGAGCTTATATCCATAGAGCGCTCTTGCATGATCTTATCATGGTATATTTTGCTCCCAATCTCGCTGATCTGTTCCTCCACTTCTTCCAAAGTTTGGTCCACATTGAGCGGAAGCTCTCCTTTCCTAATGACAGTTACACCAAAGCCATTCGTTTTGGCTTCCCGAAAAACATCCTGGAGAGGAGATAAGTGGATGGTTCAGATAAATTGGTCACCCACCTCAACAGATCAATAAAGATTAGATGGAACAATTGAAAGGGAACAATTGAACAACAGTTGGGAAAGAGATTTAATTTGTGAACGGGATAACATATGAAAACCATAGAGCATCACATCTCAAGTCTCTTGTCTTAAAATGAAAAAACATTATGAGTCCTGTTAACTGAGTGATATTGAAAACATAAAATGGCCGTTCCACCCAAGTTGGCCTCTCTTGAGAGAATATAATTTGCTAAGACCATGAATTGCAATAAATTTTCAACAGCTGCAACTGAAGAATGATGATCTACTTGAAACATTACATTCAGAACTGAAAACAAATTAATTATTTACCTTAGGTGGCTGGGCAACAACAAAGGCATGGCCATTCCCATGTGTTTCCATTTGAGCCTGGATGATATAACAAAGATTTTTGCAATCATTACTGTCCTCGAAAGCAATCACATGGTATGGCTTTGGTTCCAATTCAAGATCCGCAGCCATCTCCAATGAATAAAATCCAATCCCTTGTTCTTCATTATCAACTGTGTACAGCTCAATGCACTGGTAAGTACAGAGAGAATTAACTACTGGTTGAGTATTGGGGAAAAATATCTACATAAAGCTTAAAATCAAGGCCGATGTTAAAAACCAAATAGATGTGGAATAAGGATTAGAGGTTTGAAACCCAGGACCTCCTGGAACTTGAATATAGTGTTAGATGACAACTAATTCCAGAAAATGAAACTATTGGGGAATGAACTAGCAGCACAAATCAAGCTTAAAAAATTGCAGAAAAGTCGAAGTGCATATCTAGCTTACCAGCACATAAGGCAGATCTAGCCACCACAAGTAATCTTCTTTCTTATCTTCTGCATATTCACGGTATTTGCTCACTACAGCCTGTGGCCCAAACAATTCCATCTCTCTCTTAAGCTTGCTGAGTTTCTTTTCCATGAATTCCTTACTTTTTTCAGGCATTCTGTCCATCAGATCAGCAGCTTCCTGTATTTCTTTTTCAGTGATCCATCGATCTAAACCCTTCCCCATGTCCCTCATAGTGGATTTAATTTCTGGGTCTGTCTCCGCATTGTAGGATTCCAAAAACCCCTGAGACCATTTTTTCGTGTGTTGCCAAAACTCCTTTCCTGATTTTTTGCCAGTTCTAACAGAACCATCACTCCCTTCTATAATTGTCTTTGAACTGCTAATATCCTTCTTATTTGGGTCATTGGTTAAGGAAGTAGCAGCAATACTCTCATGGGATTGGGATCCTGTTGAGTTCTGAAGAAAGTTCTGCTCATCTTTATTCACCAAAATCTCACTATTATCAGCAAAAATTGCCTTCCGCTGCTCTTGGAAATAATTCAAGAACTCCGGACTCTTTTCTATTGGGGGACCTTTCCAGCGGGGTATAATTTTCTCTGGTGGATCATAGATGCTGATACCGTCTACAAGGAAAGCAAAATATTAGTCCAAGCAAAATATGTATTCAAGAAAAATCAAATATCCAATTTTCTCATTAGTTGGCAAGATTTAAACCTAAAAGCTACCATGAATACAGCCCTCCATTTTCCATGTCCAACAACAACAACAACAAAGCCTTTTCCCACTAAGTGGGGTCGGCTATGTGAATCCTAGAACGCCATTGCGCTCGATTTTGTGTCATGTCTTCCATTAGATCCAAGTACTCTAAGTCTTTTCTTAGGGTCTCTTTCAAAGTTCTCCATTTTCCATGTCCAAGATAAAGATTATATTAACAAATAGTCGGCCTAACAAGCGGTCAATGGATCTAGTTATGTAAGGAACCAGTTTAGCGAACAAATACAAAGAGAAGAGTAAACTACCATCAGAAAACCTATGAGGCCTATCAAACTGGTTGCAGTAAAAACTTGAAACATCTCAACATAGTGAGAATGCTGTACAATTAAATTGACCCTTTCTGAATTCATAAAATTTTCACAAAAAAAAAATAAAAAAAAAAAAAAAAATCTATATCATCCTCAATGCTGAGAAGTAGATCAATAGGTATGAGTCCAAAAATTACCTGCACCATAATTGAGGTTTTCAATGTTCGCATGGAGCAACTCATGCAGTTTCGTCAGCTTTTTATTCTCTTTCTCAACTTTCTTCTCAAGACCCTTGAAGAATGCATCCTTATCTTCAGCATCCATCATATGAAACGGATCCCGTCCTGCCAATTCATTATCTCGGACTTGAAGAACAATTTCCCTAAGACTATCATCTTTCATCCATTCAAGTTCACTGTCATCTTCTTCATTAGATCCAAGCTCTGTCATGTCCGAACTCATAATTGAATCTTGATCTGCTTTTCCTTTTGAAACCATGTAATTATCTCTAAAACCAACTCCAATCTTCTTAGCTATAGGTTCAAATTCATTAAAGTTTTCCTCCATCCACTTCTCATATTTAACAGATGGTTCTGTCATTGAATCACTGTTACTACTTTCATGATCTAAAGAAACCTGTTCCTTTTGATCATCGTCCATGATGTGTCTTTTCTCGGTTTCATCAGGTTTATCACTCTTTATAGCTTCAAATTTTTCATCCTTCAGATCATAATCTTCAGAAGCATTTTCGGTAGATGGAGGATCTGATGTTTCATCTGGAATCACATGAGCTAAAACATTGTTGACCACGAACCCTCCCTGGCTTCCATTGTTACCAAAGTCTTTATCACTTCGTAGCCTTCCAAGAACATCACTTCTGGGGACAGGTTCAAATCGGGGCTCTTCATTTAGCTTTGTTTTGTCATGTTTTTTGGAAAGATACTCCCTAGCTTCTTTCACTGATCTTATAACCCTTGGTTTGACTTGAAGGGAACCATTGCTGGACTTGCTGGACTCCCTAAAAGGAGCATTGTCTGGTAACTGCAAATTCCGTTTACAGTCTGTTACATCCTGGTTAGTGCTTTCCCTTTCATCTGAAACTTCTATATTCGAAATACTAGAAGTTTCATTATGCCCGTCCTCAACAAAGTCTAACTTTTTACTAGAAGAAGTATCATCACGACCCTCACTTTGCCTGAAATCTCCATTTACAAGGTTGGTTAGAATATTTGCTTCCCCTTCTCCATGCCGTTTGACAGCTTCTATTTCATCTGAAATTTCATTCACAGTTCCATCTGAAATTTCATCATTCGGAGTCTGAATATCGTTTCTATCCCTATCCCTGCTCTCAATTTCTCGCGCTTGCCTGGCCATATTTCTGATTTCGTGAACCTTATCATCAAAATCTGTTTTCACAGCAGCAGTCATGGAACTTGGAGAAACTTGTAGAGCGAGGTTACCATTTGACGATTTTTCTCTCACAATAACCTTCATAAGTTCTTGCTTGTCAAGGCTAGGCTTTTTAAAGGAACCCAGTGGCAGTTCCGGAGCTGCTTGAACAACTTCCACACTGCTCGGTTCTAACATCTCTTTCTCCTTTCTTGCTTTGATCTTTCTCCTCATCATTTCCTTCTCCAATTCCGAGTACCGCTCTTCTTTATTTCCAAAAGTGAATAACTTCTTCAATGCCCACAACGCAATGACACCATACAACACCAATCTCCCAACTCGAGATAGCTTTGGTATCAACTCAGGTCCAAGAGTAAAACCCTGAATCGCCTTCACAAGACCCTCACCCTCACCCTCATTAACAAACTTGGCTATGGAACTATTCCTCGGAATCCCATTGTTCCCTCTCTCCATCTCTCTAGCTAAACTCTCCGCCTGCAAAATTTTCAAGTTCACCTCCGCCGAGCCCTCCAATTCTCCTCGCTCAACCCGGCTTCTCCTCAAGATTTCATCCTCATTAACTGAAACAGCTTTCACACTACCATCAGAATCTTGCACAACAGTAAAAATATGACCCGAACCAATGCCCCAGTACTCAGTATCCCTCCTATACTGCTCCATCCAACTCTCCAATTTACTCAACAAAACCGAATCACCAAGACGTTTCGAATTCGATTCTTCTACATTACCCGTTTCAGCTACACTATCATCAGCAACCCCATTACAAAATTTGCTCTCTTTCGCACCATCATCAGAAACCAAATTACTAAATTGACTCTCAGAATCAACAAAATTATTATTCAAAAACTGAATTTCAGAACTTGGGTTTAAAGGAATTGAATTCTGATTCACCTTTTGGCCGTCAGTGAGCTTCTTCCTCAGCGAGTTTCTGCGGCTGGTGGGCCCACCGAACTGCGCGAAAGCTCGACACTTTCTGCTGTTGCAGGAGAGTAAATAGATGGAAAATGATGGGTTTTTGTGGAAATCGAAGGTGCGAATGTTGTACCGAGATGGGGTTTTCTTGTTCGGAGAATTGGCGGGAAATTTGGAAGGGAAAGGTGAAGTGAGAGAGAGAACCTCCATGGATGAAGATAGAGAGGTTACATTCAGAGCTTTCGGGGAGATTTTGGAGAGGTTTTTCAGTATTTGTTAGTTGGTATATTATGACATGTCGTTCATGAAGGAGAACGACATGTAACATATGTCGTACTAATTAAAGATTTCAAAGGCTAGCATTATTTGGGTGAACAAATATGATGCTCTACACATCAATATGCCACATATGCGGAGAAGTAATAGTAGTAGTAAGTACTTAGGTATAACGGAATTAATATTGTAGCGGTATTTTAAGTTTATCATTTACTGATATGCGTTTACATGATTAGTTTGGAATACCGTCACAATGACATCCCGTTGCATGCAAGTTTTTCTCGTTAAAATTATGCATGTAGCGCTCACAATGTAAAAAAGTTACCTACTCAGATGGACAACTGACGATGACAAGATTCATGTGAAGGATTGCAGGTGCACACATATTTTTCTGTTAAGGTCATCACAACACAATTCATTCATGTCAAGGTTGTCTTACCATCTATACTCCACACATTTAGAAACTTGAGAATACAAGGTATTTCTTGTATGGTAATTATATACCAGTTCATCCAATCTTAGGTTGCTTCATCGTATACAGATCAACCCCAAAAAATTACCAACTATAAACCTCGAAACTGCCCTATAAACTCCACACCTAGGGCTAGGCGGGGGCTAGCAGCCATGGCGTCAACTCTGATATTCTCCCACTTACTAATTTCAATCATGATCACCATACCTCCATCGTCCATGTCTTCTCCTAAGACACCAGTCCGAGGTTTCGAGGCACGTCTCATTCACCGCGACTCTCCTCAATCTCCGTTCTACAACCTCAAGGCCACACCTACCAATCGCATCAAATCAGCACGCCGCAGAATCATAGCTAGACAAAACTACTTCAAATGGCTAATGTCAGGCAAAACACAGCGCAATTCCATCAGCACGCCGATTGATACAGACTATGGAGACAACATCATGAGGTTCAAAGTTGGCACCCCAAGAGTTGACACCTTTGGGATTTTCAACACGGCCAGCGATTTAATTTGGTTTCAATGTAAGCCTTGTGAAAAATGCTACGAACAAGGCATACCAATATTTGATCCTGCAAACTCAGACAGCTATCAGAAGGTAATGTGCGGCTCCATCGAGTGCAATACAACCTCAGATGCCCATTGCCCTGATCCAAAAGGCGAATGCCGGTACAAAATTGCGTACCAAGATGGATACTGAAGGAGACATTGCCACGGAGACAATCATGATTGAACATGATGGATAAAGTGGTAACATTAATTAACAAACATGATTATCGGTTGTGGTCTCACTAATGTCGAAACAAAAGCAGGCCATCACCCACCTGGAGTTGTGGGACTTAGGAGTTAGGAGAGAGCCTTCTTCACTTGTTGGTCAGATTTCGTACCCCCACCTTTCGTATTGCATTTCTTCCAAAAATAATGGCATCTACAATAACAGCAACGAGAAAATTGGGTTGCTACTTGCAGTGGTCACTGAAACTGAGGCAAAAACTCAAACACCTTGGTTGAGCGGTGAAAATGGTCTGTACTATCTAAACTTAGAGGGCATTAGCGTCGATGGCGCAATGCTCAATGTTTCGAGTTCAGTTTTTAATATGACCGCTGGTGGAGAGGGAGGTGTTTTCATGGACTCGGCAACAACTCATACTATGGTTGCATTTGGAGCTTTTAGTGAGCTGAGAAGGTAATCATAGATGCTTTATCAGATTTCCATAGAGTGGGAGATTATGATGGCATTTTTATAATTTGTTACGATGATAGCCGGTTTCAAGCTGATAAAACGCCGGAAATTGTGCTTCATTTCACGGGACTGGAGTTTCCGGTGAGTGCGGATAACACTTGGGCGGTGAATTCTCATGGACACTACTGCCTGGCTATTTTGCCAAGTTTTGCAGGTTTTACTATCTTTGGAATGTACCACTACCGTACCAGCACAGGAATGTGAATGTTGGGTATGATTTCGGTTAACAACATCACATCCTTCAAGTATACAAATTTCTGTCGGTATACTTAAAAACGTGGAACAAAATTACACACATAGGCAGGGACTCTAGCTTTATTAGGGATTATTAGTGATGATGGCACCTAAATATGTGGTACTTGTAATTTTCATTGGCATCATCTTTGTAACCGAAGAAAGTTGAGATTCCATCATAAAATTAATTGGCAATATGGAGAGTAATCCTACTTATAAACTCATGCAAGGTCCCTCCTCCCACCCTCCTCAACAGTAACATGATGTCATCTGAGTTGTTTTCTATCCATTTTCTCCAAGTAATATTAGACATTTTTCCTTATTTATATGCAGCATATAGTTAGTGTTCTAAACACAATCTAGGTGGTTGGCTACTGTCACAAATTCCTAAGTATTTAAAAAATTGCATAGGGTACCTAGACCGTCTAAGTGAATTCTTTTTATCAGTAATTTACAGTTATGACCCATTTTCATCAAACAAAAAAAAGAAACTCAAACTCTCTCTCTCCATGGGATTGCTTGCGTCTCTTTGCCATGGTCTCTTCAATATCCATGTATTCAATAAACGGTAGTACTTTATAATTTATATATTCTTTCATTTGCATTTTATCTTTCCCAAGTATATATATATATTTTTCTTCTTAAGTATAAATAAAGGTACTTATTTATATGTTAATTAAATAAATTTTATTAAAATTATAAAAAATGCTTAACCCCAACCTAGTCTCTTTAGGTGTTTGACCCCAAACTGCCGTCCGATTACCGCCTACGATTTTTAGAACATCGCATATAGTACTACAACTACAAGACTTCAATTGAGAAATTCATCAAATAAGCTTATATCCGTAGACAATAGCAATGTCCTCCATAACGTCACAAGCTATAACATGTAGATTGACAAATCCGAATAAACATGTGACTTTCCCCTCCAGATAAACATGTGACTAATTAAGTTTGATTTGGCCGAATATTTATTTGATAAAATTGAAAAAGGGACTACACGTATTTTTAATACAAGAGTCCTAACATCTTGCCCTACAAGTAACGAAACTGATTTCTCCCAATTCCACATCTGCCACTACACAAATATTACTCGATTCTTATAAGAAATTACAAACAATTACTCGATACATTAAGGGAAATATAAATGTCTTGGAGTACAAGATAACCTTAAATAGGGTTAATACACAATACTTACTTGATCTACTACGTATCTAGGTTTCTTTCCAATTGCCATACACAGAAGCAAATATCAATTACACTTTACAGACCTTGATCCAACCCTATATATTACCTCCCGCTGCTATACAACAATGCTCTAAAATTTTAGACCTGCATCTCTACCAACCATGGCATCAACGCTAATATTCTCCCTCGTTGCACTAATTTCAATCATCACCGTCCCTTCCTCCATGTCTTCTCCTAAAGCATCCGTTAAAGGCTTTGAGGTGCGTCTCATTCACCGCGACTCCCCTGCATCTCCGCTCTACAACCCTAGGGCAACACGTGCTGATCTCATAAAATCATCCGGCCGCAGAACCATAGCGAGACAGAACTACTTCAACTGGCTAATGTCAAATAAAACGTGGAGCAGGTATTCGAGCAGTTACGTCTGGGCGCCTATTGATCAAAGCCCAGGAGATTACATCATGAGGTTTAAAGTCGGCACCCCGGAAGTTGAAACCTTCGGAGTCTTTGACACTGGCAGCCACTTGACTTGGCTGCAGTGTGAGCCTTGTGAGCAGTGTTTCAGTCAAACCATAACAATATACAATCCTGCAAGCTCACAAAGCTATGAGAAGGCCATGTGTGGCTCGGTTGTGTGCAACACAGCCTCAGGTGCCCGCTGCCCTAATCCAAAGGGCGAATGTAAGTATGAGATTAACTATATGGACGGATCATTCACCGAAGGAGACGTTGCCACAGAAACCATCACGCTTGAAGATGATGGATTAAGTGGTAGCATTAGTTTACAAAATATAATCATTGGTTGTGGTCACTCTAATGTTGACACAACTGCAGGATACCCTGCCCCGGGAATTGTCGGTTTAAGTAGACAACCTTCTTCACTTGTTAGCCAGATTCCCTTACATCGTGTTTCATATTGCATACCTTCTAAATATAAAGGTAACCATAGCTCTGTGAGATTTGGCTCAGCGGCAGTAATCAAGGAAGAAGAGACGCAAACTTCGCTTTTGAGCGGTCAATATGGTTTGTACCAGCTAAGCTTAGAAGGGATTAGTATTGATGGAACACTGCTGAATATTTCAAGGTCAGTGTTTGACATGACGGGGGACCGCGGAGGAGTTTTCATGGATTCAGCAACAACTTTTACTTTGCTTGCATTTGATGCTTTTATTGAGTTCAAGTTGGGAATGATGAATGCTTTGTCGGATTTCAAACCAGTGACAGATGTGGATGGACTTTTCCCACTATGTTACGATTATCATAGTGGTTTCAGATTGGATATAACGCCGGAAATTGTGTTCCATTTCACGGGACTAGACTTTCCGTTGGGCGACGAGAACACTTGGATTATGAATTCTGAGGGAAATCTCTGCTTGGCCATGGGCCTAAATGAAGGAAGCTCAGACTATACCATTTTTGGAATGTACCAACAACAAAACGTGAATGTTGGATATGACTTGGACAACAATATTGTATCCCTCAAGTACGGTGACTGTGAATGAAAAGAAAATTACAAGGAGAGGAGGACTGTTATACTTTTGTTTTCACTACCCTCTTGCAATAGGGCTGTGTTGGAAAATAATACGGTTAGGAGATTGTGTTTTGTTTTGTAAGTTAGCAAGTTAGTAACATGTTTGTTTTTTTTTTTTAATTTTATTAAGGTTTTTAGGGTAGGTATTTAAGGTTTTCTAATGGGATAAGGATTATGAATTTGAGTCTCAATCTCAACCCTTCTTGAAAATCTTGTAATATTTTTTCTTTATGTCTATGCAATAAGATGGTCTATATCCTCTTCCGTTGCCGTCACCTTCTACCTCCACCATCGCCTCCTCAAGCTCTTTATGTTGTCTCTTCCACTACCTGTCATAATCGTCTTTGTCATCCATCTTTTCCAGTCATGTCCCGTCTCCACTCTAGCTTAGGCTCCTTAGTTAAATTAGCAGACTCTTTTTGAACTGGTTGTACTCTTAGTAAATCGCACAAACTTCCTTTCTATTTAAATGATAATAATTGTTTGTCATCTTTATTTTCTATAATTCATAGTGACGTGTGGATGTCTCATATTCCTTCTGTTAGTAGTTACCGGTATTATGTGCTATTCCCTTATTGTTTTTCACATTATAGTTGGATTTTTCGTTAGAAAAAAAAATCAGAAGTTCTTACCCACTTCCAAACCTCTGTGGCCATGGCTCGTAACTTCGTGCAACTATACAATTTTTACAAAATGATAATGGAACGGAATATGTTATGTATTCTCATATTAATAAAAGTCTTAGCATCCAACAACGCTTCTCTCGTCCGCATTCACCTCAACAAAATACCCTCGCCGAATGCAAACATGGCCACATTGCCACCATGATTCGATCTTTTCTATCATTGCTCATCTACCTCACTCCTTGTGAGTTGAGGCTGCTCTTATCGCATTCACTTAATCAATCTTCTCCCTTCACCCGTCCTTGACTGGGCCACCCCTTAATCTATTCTATAGGGTCACTCACTCACCTACTCCTACATTCGAATCTTTGGTTGTCTATGTTTTCCTATTAGAATCATATACTTGTACATGTCGCTACAAATAAAGTAAACTAATCCAAACCAACTAGGAAATACAATATAATCTCCAATCAATAATTACATTCCAAATCAAATAGGGACTCACATCAACACATCCGCCACCAAACATAGGGACCAACATATAGAGGTATTACAATACGTACGTACTATAATATGTGTATTGGCATGAATTATGGCCGGCCTGTCCTTGAGCTAAACAATACAAAAATATTTGATTTAAGCTAATATTATATCATATAGTAGTGTTATAAACGTACTATTAACATTAACTAATAAGCTAAATTTCTCCTTAAAAGGGGTGCTCACTAATAAGCTTGCTATCAATGAGCCTCTCATGGAAGAAGAAACACACATCCAGCTATCCAAATGGGAAGGCAAAACTCTGTTGAGCTACAAGGCCCCGCAGCAGATGAAGTTTGGCCTCTCTTGGCAGATTTTTGCAACTTCCACAAATGGTTCCCAATTCTTGACACTTGTTATCAAGTAGAAGGAGTCCCCGGCCAACCTGGTGTGATCCGGTACGCTTCACTCTACCCCGATGCCTTTGGTAAAACATCATTATCTGCCGACGATCACGGTCATCATGATGATCAGAGATCCATCAAGTGGGTCACAGAGAAGCTACTAGCGATCGATCCGATCGAACGGTGCTTGAGCTACGAGATCGTTGATAATAATATTGGATTCAAGTCGTATGTTGGAACCATGCAGGTGCTGTCTGTCAACGACCGCGATTGTGCCAGTGTAAGATCGACTGGTCATTTGTTTGTGATCCGATTGAAGGGTGGAGATTTGAAGACTTTCTATTTTTTGTGTGGCTCTACTCTCCAATCAATGGCAAAGAAGATAGAGCATGTTCTTTCATCTACCGCGTGAACGTTGAACGTTGACTCAACATGTTAATATTTGTCTTCGTTTTATTCAGAAAATGTTGTTAAATTTAAATAAATTTTCAACTATTTATATCAGCAAATAGATAGATCGAAATTGGGGTTTATCTGTTGAACTCCCAAGACATCGAGAGGTGTTTCATGTAATGGTAATATTCTATAAATTACATGCCTTTTGTATATTACAAATCCAAATTTGAGAACATTTAAAGTTCGAATATCATGAAAAATGTGACCTAATATGAAATATTTATGATCTAAGCTAAGTAATGGGTAATTCCATAACTGTGCTTCTTCCCTACCCATGAAACTTATGAGGATGCACAAATGCTTGAGAAGCTCTACCTTGAATTTTTCCGCATCCAACCTCCTTCTCCTGTACAAATTATTGGTGCATCAGTTAAGCATCTTTAGACGAAAAAGCGGTCCCTTATGATTGGTTGTTGCGCGTCTCTACCTCCCACCTATCCTACACATTTGATCAGGGTCGTCACTGCGAAGCTATAGTAAAAGTGCATGAGATCTTACTATCTAGCTGATGGTATTTCACATCTTCATAGAGAATTCAATTTCACCGTGTCCATATCATACACAGCGGGGCACATTTTGTATTTTAGCTGCCCAAGTGCCCTTATTAACGAACAAGCTCAAACCAAACTGGTCATCATCACATATATGACACCAATGTTTGGACCCTCAATCATTTCTAGGTCCACCAACTTTCTATCACTGGATGCAGCCCCCCAAACCAACAGGTGTGCCTTGGCCAATATTAATAACAGAATTGTTTAATAATAACTGTTTATACCATATTTAGGGCATTCGTATTTAGATCTCGTACAAATACTCGGGAGACTTAAATGTAATTATGTAATAAAGGAATGGGCAAATATGTAATAAGTGAGGAGCCCTTATTCTATAAAAGGACTCCTCATCCTCACAATTGGGGGAGGCCAATTCCTAGGCCCTCTCACCCCCTCTCAAAGCTTCTCCTATCTAGAGCAAAGCTCTCATACTCTCCCTCACAAATACTCTCAAAGAAATACAATCAGTGTGGACGTAGCCCAAACCTTGGGGTGAACCACGATACATATTATGTTATTTACTTTCTTGCAGATTCACGGTCGGATTTACGTTGTTCCAAGACCTCCGGTTTTGTGCATCAACATTTGGTGCCGTCTGTGGGAATCGACACAAAAAGCTATGTCGGTTATCTTTCATTTTTTCATCTCACCACTGTGAGACCTCACCACACTCCACCTTGAATCTGCAAAGAAAACCCAGGAACCACCCGCCATCCCAAAACAAAGCGGAAATAACCGTCTGTTTCCTAACCTTACCCTCAACAATCCAAATCCCTTCCATGCAACCGCCACGTGTTCTAACCTCAGCCAGTGCAGATAAATATCCCTCCACATGTCCCCTCTTCGAAATCTGCCCCGATCTTATAGCATGCGTCTCGCATGCTGCGATGCTCAGAACTCGGAACAGTCACTCAGCGACACAGTAACTCAATGACTCAACGAGTCGTTTCATGCTCTGGAAACCATGAACGCCAAAGCACTTCTTTACTCCTTCTCTCTGAAGCCTAATATTGCCCCGCCTGATTTTTCGGCCACCAAGAGAAGTTTCAGCGCCGATGACCTGAGACCCCAAACGCCGTTTTGGTTTCGAGTGCGGATTCGGAACAGGGAGCAGTACTGCTGTTTCTTTCGCGTTTCGGGCGGCGAAGGCAAAAACCGGATGAGCGGGAAAGTGTTTGCAGACGTTAAATCGGAGGCGCACGACATATCGGAACCCGTGGATAAGTTCGACAAAGGGTTGAACGATGTCGTTTTGGTGAAGCAGGATTTGGAAGCGGAGTCTACGACGGAGGTTTCGTGATTACAAGAGTTTCTGAAATGATGGGTCATTGTCGTTTTGTGCTTTTCGGCTTTCCTTCTATGCAACATGGACAGAGTAAATATGAGCATTGCAATATTGCCCATGTCAGCAGAGTACAATTAGAACTCAGCAATTGTGGGTTTGATACAATCTTTTTTCTTCTGGGGATACCTCCTCACTCAGATTACTGGTGGAATATGGGCAGACATAGTAGGTGGGAAGCAAGTACTGGCATTTGGAGTCATTTGGCGGTCCATTACTACTATTCTCACTCATGTTGCTGCTAAAATTGGATTGCCTTTCCTACTAGTTGTTCGCGCTTTCTTGGGGATTGGTGAGGGTGTTGTTATGCCTACCATGAATAATATACTGTCAAAATGGATTCCTGTAGCAGAGAGAAGTAGATATTTGGCTCTGGTTTATAGTGGAATGTATCTTGGATCGGTCACCGGCTTGGCTTTTTCGCCATACCTAATACATCAGTTTGGGTGGCCATCGGTCTTTTACTCCCGTATTTTTTCATCTGGGTCGCAGCCTTTTCCATCTGGGCTTTCTTCCTTCTCATTTGGGTTTTCTTCTTTCTCATCTGGGTTTTCTTCTAAGATGGCGGCAACTGTGTTGTTTGATCCGTACGTTATCTGGACCTTATTCACCTCCCTCTTAGGTTTTCTCGCTCTCTCTGTTATCCGTCGTCGGAATTTCGACCACGCCAAGAGCAATGCTCAGATGCCCACAGTAATACGGTGTTCGTTCAGGATAAAAGCATCAGCAGCTCTGACTCGAATCTTCACGGGGCTTGGCACGAGAGGTTTGTTGCGACGGCAGAGCTGGTGAAGGCCACGGCGGTGATGAGAGGGAGCGAGTGTGACTCAGAAAGCAATCTTGATCATCAGAACCACACTCATTACGACTTGACGAAGATAAGCTTTTCCTCAATAATAAGTCTATTGTTATTTCCTTTGTCTGCCATCTGCCAAAAGAGGAAAGAAGAAAGAAAAGCAAGGAATAAACATGCAAAAGCACAAGGACACTACTCGAAGCTGGGGTCATCCTTCAAAAGCTTCATTTCCGTCCATCATCTTGTTGAAAAAGAAGAAAGAAAAAAGACAGAGACACAATGGAAAGCAAAAGGAAAAGAGAAAAAGAAAATGGAAAATGAGGTCCGTAGCTGATGCCAAAGCAAAAGCAGAAAAGAGATGAAGAGACAGAGAGAGTGCAACAGAAAAACACAAGCAGAAGCAAGGAATAAACACCCCACCAGAAGGATGTGGTTTACTTTCCTTATTTTTGAATGATGTAATTTATTTTTCGTATATTTCGGAGATACCTGTATAAACCCTATCAGTGGGTAAAAACAAAAAGGCAAAGCCCAAAATAAATGGGCCGGAATTTTGTGTGGAAGGCAAAGGCCCATAAGCCCAAAATAGCACCAACCAGGTGACCAAAATTACATTCAGTACTACAAAAATTATTCAGCACCCTGCCGCTATTACCACTAACCAGGTGATCAAAAGTATGCCCAGTACTCCAAAATTATTCGGCAACCTGCCGCTATTACCACCAACCAGGTGATCAAAAGTACGCCCCGTACTTCAAATTATACATGAGCATTACTCATGTCAATCATACATAAACATTCATGAGCATTACTCATGTTAATCATACATAAACATTCATGATACATAAACATTCATGAGCATCACTCATGTCAACATCCATGAGCATCACTCATGTCAATCAACATAAACATTCATGAGCATCACTCATGTCAATCAGCTTCAAAAGCTTCATTTACAAAAGCTCTAGCTTCAAAAGCTTCATTTACAGAGCTCCAGCTTCAAAAGCTTTATTTACAAAAGCTCTAGCTTCAAAAGCTTCATTTACAGAGCTCCAGCTTCAAAAAGCTTCATTTACAAAAGCTCTAGCTTCAAAAGCTTCATTTATAGAGCTCCAGCTTCAAAGCTTCACTTGCAAAGTTTCACCTACAAAGCTTCAGTGCAGGGTATACAAATACCGCCTCCGAACAACCGCCACTTCGGCCCATACACGGATTCAATTTAAAGTCTCCAGCCAACAGACTCTATTGACCGAAGACTTAGGGGACTATACTATACACCATATATTAGGCCTCAACTGGGCCTCATGAAAAATACTTGGGGGACTTAGCCCATTATTTATGTATTGAGGAGTGAGCCTTTATTTTACAAAAGGGACTCCCTCAACTTCATTAGAAAGCAACGCCACCTATTGAGCAACCGTCTCGCCGCGAGCATCGCTCTTAACCCATCACTTATGTATTGAGGAGCGAGCCCTTATTTTATAAAAGGAACTCCCTCACCATCATTAGAGAGCATCAACTCTAGCCCATCGTTTATGTATTGAGGAGCGAGCCCTTATTTTATAAAAGAGACTCCCTCACATTCATTAGAGAGCAATGCCACCTACTGAGCAACCGCCTCGCTGCGAGCATCACTCCTAACCCATCACTTATGTATTGAGGAGCGAGCCTTTATTTTATAAAAGGGACTCCATCACCATCATTAGAGAGCATCAACTCTAACCCATCGTTTATGTATTGATGAGTGAGCCCTTATTTTATAAAAGGGACTCCCTCACCATCATTAGAGAGCATCAACTCTAGCCCATCGTTTATGTATTGAGGAGCGAGCCCTTATTCTATAAAAGGGACTTCCTCAACTTCAACGCTATAAGCCGAGCTAACCAAGGCAACCTAAGCCACGAGCCGAGCAGCCTTGTAGCATGTGCTACTTCTAGTTGAGCATCACTTCATATTGAGTACCGCCTCATATCGAGCACCAGTTCAAGACAACATCTAGTTACTCCAGCCCACACATGGACTGAATTTCAAGTCTCCAGCCAAAAGACTCTCTTGACTGAAGACTTGAGGGACTACTGTTTATACCATAGTTAGGGCCTCCTTATTTAGATCTCGTACAAATACTCAGGGGACTTAAATGTAATTATGTAATAAAGGAAGGGGCAAATATGTAATAAGTGAATAGCCCTTATTCTATAAATGGACTCCTCATCCTCACAATTGGGAGATGCCAAATCCTAGGCCTTCTCACCCCCTCTCAAAGC